GGGCATCAACTCGAGCTGTGGTTATTCCTGACCTGTGGCGTGCGCAACACGAAACCGAAGTGGTTTCGGGGTTGGGTTCAGGGTCTCTCGACCTGCACGAAGTCTAAGCTGAGAAATGCCGCTCCAGCTACATACAGCCCTGAGCCCGTCGCTTTTGCAGAGACCCCATCCACTATCATCAAAGAGCCGCAGGTTAGGAAGGGGGTGTTTCACTGTCAGCCTGAAACGGCATGGGGCATGGGGACGAAAAGTTGCTAGAAGCCGTGTCGACAAAGCCCGACCTTCGCCTGCGTGAGTTTCTTTCATGGCTCTGGAAACCCAGCTTTTCAATAGAATGCACTCCCAACGTGTGACTCCACTTGTAGCGCTGGAGACCGTGCGGTTGAAGTGTAGCAAGCATAGCATTAACAGCTGCCACGGGCGGCATCCTGCACTACAACGTGCAGCGTGCTTTGTCGAAGCAACACAGAAGCGTCAGTTGTGCCAGAACTGAAACCCCTGCAATAGCGCCAGTTCAGTCGACCAGATGGTCATGTTGGGATTTCTTGGCATCTTGACGAATGAGCTACGGGTCAGGGTTTAGGGCCCTTTTTCAGCCCCAGCCTCGCTACTCAGCAAGGCTTTGGAAGGAGCATCGGAAGGCAGTCGCCGGGCCTGGCTCTGATGTTTGTGGAGATGACTGGAGGGATGAGGGCTTTCGCTCTAGTCGGGGTTCAGCTGCATTTCACGGTCTCGGAAGTTAACTAAGTTCAGTTGACTATCCACTAGGTATGCTTCTGAGTTCATTACCAGATGCGATGATGCCCCGAACTGTATCCTTGAGAAAGTCATTTAAAAACCGCAGCGTTGAGCTTGAGATTGGTGTGCTGTGACTGTTCAGGCCATAAGCTCTTGAAAGAACTCCGCGATCTCCGGCATTTCCCGAACCTGAGTTAGAGCCAACCCAGACACGGAACTCAATTAGAGCTTTGAACCCTGCTTTGACATGCCTCAGCCAAGCAGGCTTCTCCAGAACCCGAATCCCATATGCAATGAGCTCACATTTTCAAGCTACAGCATCCTAAGTCGTTCGAAATCGTCGTTTTTAGCCCAGCCAAGGTAGCGACAGCCTTTGCGCGGGCGTCGTGCAGGTGCGAAGCACGACGCTGTAGTGGTTCTTGAACTCGAAGGTTTCCATGACTGCGGCTAACGTATGACATTATTGTCGTGCTTACTGGGGTATTGATTCGGCATGCCGGATACCATACTGTTCGAGCCCCATGGTCCTGTAGATGCATCGGGAGCTACTCCTTCTCATGTCGGAGATATCACCCTTTGTAGTCCAACAGTTTGTTCCGCTTGCAGAGTCATAGGACTGTGCCCATGGAGCCATGGAGCTTGAATCAGGTTACTGGCTTGGGAAAATTCGGTCTAGCGAATGCAGAAAAGTCGCAAACATATGATTTTGCAAGCTTTGCTATGTTCTTCGCCCAAGGCTGGAATGAGACACGTATCCTCGAACCCCAAGCCCTGACTGCTTGACGCGAAAACGGCAACAACCAGTCGTCGCCCTTTATGTGAACCTGACGCATTCAAAACGATCATGGAGAGTCCAACGATTGCTTTCAAACAGAACCTTGACGAGCTTTTGTTCGCTTAACCCTCAATGCCCTTGCCCATCGGCCGCCTCGACCGTGAAGCCGGAGCAAGTGCTTGCAAGGAAGGTTATGTTGGTCCTGTCCCGGGTCTACTGTTTCTTTCGGACACGAAGAGGGAATCAAAACCAGCGGCGCGGACCAAATGAAACACTTCTGAAAGCGTTGGCCCTGCGGTTGGCCAGTCTCTCCTGGAAGCGGCCGACTGGCCAGCAAGCCACTGCCTGACTCCGCACCGTGTGCGCAGCGGCGTCCCCTGGCCATCGTCTTAAGTATATATTATTTGCCATCAGTATTAGGGCATTAGGGATTGAACCGCTGGCTGTTCTCTTATTGGAAGGCTCCCGTGTGCTCATACCCATGCTAACAGGGGCACGGCAAATGCAAAGGAGTTCGAGTCAGCTCTTTTAGGCCTAGCATCTTTCAAGCGCACACCTCTTTCAACTTGAGGCGCCAGTGATCCATTGGAGGTGCAGAAGGGGGCGCGGGCTGTCCAAGAGTGGTGTGCCCCGAGATCTGGTACGAGCTTCTAACTGTCAAAATGATTTTCCCGAGGCCTTGAAGCCTTGACGAAAGCCAACATAGCTCTAACCACTTCCACAGGCTGGTACCCCGTGATGGGGCCATCGGCGCTCTCGATCAGGACGAGGTGTCAAGCCCGATGGACTAAACGAGCTACGGTTCAGGGTTTGGATTTGGGCAGTAGGTTGTAGACATATGAGTCAACGACCCGAAGCACTACAATCCTTCATACTGATGGATTATGAAAATGCTGTTCACAGCAGCCCCGAATCTGTTTGTGAAGGATCTTGTTGAGACAGCGCCGTGGCCGGTCGAAGGCGATCACCCTCAGGCTCAAAGCACGACACGGCAGATCCCCAAATCTCTAGAAGCCAGGTCTCGAGACCCTGCGCAAGACTCAGCCCCACCCTGCGACTGTGCATGCAAAAGCCTGGCTCAAGCCAAGAGCCATCCGCCAGCATGTTGCATGTCTGAAACCATACAATTGCACCCCCATCTTTGACAGGAAAGGCACGCAGACTCGAATCTTCGTTCGCTAGCGTGCGGCCACTCAGCCGCAAGCTGATGCGGCTGGCAGGGAAGTGACATGTCACCCTGTGAATCATCAAAACGGCATGGCGGGCATGGGCATTCGTAGTAGTGTTTGGGAGCGTTGGTCATAGGATGATGAGTAGCACGGAGCACTACGGCACTGCTTAGCAGCAATTTCGTAGCCGTGGATCCAGAAAGGAAGGCGAATAGTAGGATGAGAAAGACAAGGGTGGCACCGCATGAGCTGCACCAGTGGCAGACAAAGGCATATGCGCCGTAACGGGTGCTACTGTAGCAGCTGCAAGTGTTCGAACAATGCAGCAGCAGATCTTCCTGTGGCCATGTCTTGTATCCTCAGTCTACGCAGCTTGATATTGGCATTTTGGCCAACAAGGACAGCCAGCTCAAGGACTGTAAAATAATTACGGATACATAATCATGACCATTGTACAAAGGAATGGTTTGTTTGCAAGCTCAGGCTCAACAGATCTATGGCGCGTTCCAGACCACTGCCCGAGCGGTGCCACTGGTCGGGACAACTAGGTACTCGTAGGGTATGCAACAGCTTCGTGTGCAGAGAGACTTCAGTCTACGCAGTCAATCGAAGTTAATGTGCCTTGATTGACGTTTCAGAAGTTGATGGAACCTTTTGAATCTTTGGAAGGATCCTGAGCTTTTTGCCGATTCGTCCCAGAGACGTCTGCAAGGATGCCCTTCGCCACCATGCGCAGATCTCAGACGACATCGGGCAGTTGGGGAATCCGGAAGACGCCACCGGAGCCAATCCAAGGTTACGAGGACGAGTTTGTGGCTTCCCAGCAGGTATGTGTCCCTCCGTTGACCGACCGCGTCACACCTTGTTCCACGACAGCACGAGTTTCAAACACAGCAAGTGTACTGATGTCCGATCTGCGCGGCCCAAGTCACTACCATGTTTCTGGAGGAGCGTCCTCATCGAGAATAAGCCATATCCCCGATCTTGAGCCGCTGGCGCCAGTACGCGAGGATGGTTGCAAGCTGTGTTTGCCTCTTCTGCTCATTCGAGTGAAGCTTCAGAGCGCAGTTGTAGGATTGTGCACAGAGACGGCGGCAACAGGCTGATGGAGATTTGAGAGACACAGGGTAGGTATGAGTCTAAGCCTTAAGCCCAAGTGTACATCGCACTCTGTCTTATGTAGATATGTGAGCTTGAAGTCGACCCCCCCATCACAACCCGCTACGAACCGTGAGACCTCGTTTGGCTCTGTCCGAGTTGCGGGAGCGTCGTCAGCAACAACATCACCTTGTCATACCCCATACAATACAACTACCCATCCCAAACCTTGCTAGAACCCTAGTGGTAGCTGTTACAGGGCCCGTAAATGCAACGCGCCCAGTAGCCCAACTAGAAACCTTTCATTTCATCCTTAAAGTGCCGCTTTCAGAAGTCGAAAAGCAACCCTTACAGCGATTTTTGGAGCTTGGCCCTTTTTAGACGCAGGAGGCCGAGGCAGATGCCGAGTTCTCCGGAGGCCCTGAGGAGAAGGAGACAGCACTCGCAGAGCTGGCGGAGGCTTCCCGACAGCAACGGAACTCCTCTGTTTGGGTAGAGCTCTGGCAGCAAATTGCTGCAATCATCATAAGAAGAGTCAGAGTGTCATAGTGGCCCAGTATTCATGTTTCCCAGTCGTACACCAGCAGACTGGAAAGGTATGGGTTCCATAGGGTCCAGGCCGTCTCGTTTTAGAGCAAGTCAGGGGGCTTAGTTTGGTGTGAGTATAGTAGTATGGTGCTCGTGCCTGCGAGTTTCTGCAATAAGAAACCACAAAACCAGACGTACAGTAGAATTTGAGAAACTAGCTGCTGGTGTTTTGGATTGGCGCCGCAGGCCGCAGAGTGTTGCTTTTGAGAAGGTTTCATGCGGTGCTGATCACAATCAAAGAATTTTCGGGCTGCGCCAGGCCGCCATCCAAAAACACTACAGAAGGTCCTCGTAGAATCCACTGCAGTTATATCACAAGAGCTTCTACCCCGACACATCCGCGCAGAGCAGGTCGATCTCGAAGAAGTCCATGAGGCCTCGGGGGGTCTCGCGCGGGTTGGGGGGCTGAGGCCCCAGAATTTCTTGAGGAATGGGGGCTGTACATCGGAGCATCCGAGGAGTTGAGGCCGAAGTTCCGTCCCGGAAAGCGGCTTCGACGAAACCAAGCATTGCTCGTGAGACACTGTCCGGAGCTCCTCCAACAAAATTGGATTTCCAGTTAAGCCATGGAATCTACGGTGGCAGAGTTTCATCTCAAGCTGAGACGGCACGCACCTTTGTCGCCCTCCGCCATGGCAGCGTCCGCCGAAGAGCTGCAAGCCGAGATCGAAGCCACCCGGCGACGGGTGGAAGCAGAGAGGGCCAGGCGCCAGGAGCTCATTGCCGAGACCAGCCAGGCAGCAGAACGGAACAGGCTGCGCAGACAGCTGGAGGAGATGAAAACTTGCTTGGCAGAGGAACAGCTAGAAAATGCGTACGAAGCTGAGCGTCGACGGTCACTTGATGAGGACCGGACCTGGTGGCAGCATGCCTCCGATGCTGCAGGTTCCATTCTCAGCAAGCAACCTGTGATGCGAGCAAGTGGTGGCAACAGCATCAATTGCGCAGAAACGGTCGCCACAGGTGAGTATGTCTGGAAAATCGAAGGCTTCTCCTGGTTGAAGTGCATGCTGATGCAGGAAGAGGAGGACTATGTTGTAGCCTCTATGCCATTCCAAGTCGGCAACGAAACGTTCTTTTTCTCCTACAGCCCGTGGGGAGACTATCTGTGCGATCAGCATCATGGGTCTCTCGCAATCCTGCCTGACACGAAGGAGTGTGTTGCGATTCGGTATCGCATCTCCGTCAAGGCTTGGAATGGTGAGTTTGTACAGTGGGGCGACAAGTGCGACGTCGTCCACCGCGGCGACAGGAACAGGTCGGGTGCATATGGCCCGGATGTGCATTGGCCAGATCATCCTCCTGCTTTTCTGGGAATCTTCGGCCTAAGCCATGAAGAGCTGCTGCAGTCCGAGTGGGTGGAGAACGACACTCTCACGGTGAAGTTCGAGCTCGAAGTCCGTCCTTATGAATACGCAAGCTCACGGCCCTTGAGCCTTACCGCGGAGGTTCCTGCTCCAACTATGAGTGAAGACACGCACGCGCTGCTGGAGGAAGGCAACTGCAGCGATCTGCAATTCATGGTGCAGAACGAGGTGATCCATGCTCACTCGCAGGTTCTCTGTGCACGATCCGAGGTATTCAGCAAACAGCTGACGGCGGGCATGCAGGAGAGCGTTTCCAAAGTCGTCGTGATCGAGGACTGCGATGCTGCCACCTTCAAGGCCTTTTTGCACTTCCTTTACACCGACCAACTGCCGGACGCACAGGAGCTCCTTCTGAAGGGCGCCTCAAGTGCAAACGAGACAGAGAGTGGCAGCCCTCAGTTGTCGCGAATTCAGGCGCTTCTGGCCGTGAGCCACAAGTATCAAGTGAAGCGTCTTCAGCTCTGGTGTGAAGCGAGGCTTTCAGAACAAATCGTCAAGTCACAGGTTTGCGGCATCCTTTGTCAGGCCCATCTCCTACAGGCGAGGCAGCTGGAAATGGCGTGCCTCTCATTCATCAGACACCACATGAGCCAAGTACTCATGATGCCTTCCTATGCTGAGCTGATCAGGAAGTGGCCCCAAGTCGCCCTCAAGGTCAGCCTCTTCTCGGCAGGCGTGTCGGAAACCGAGACGCTGGCTGCCATAGATGCTTTCGAAAAGCCGCAAGAGCTACAATGGGAAGAGCCGACCGATTCGGGAGAGTTCCTGTACCAGTAGCCCAGGCGCTTGGCGCCCCAAAGCTCCGTACTTTTAACTCAAGGTGCTTGTTGAGAGGGCACAGAGAGTTTCACGACACGCACGTGCACAGCTACAGCCAAAGCTGCTGTACAACGAAGCGTCATGCAACAGGTGTCAATGCCCGAAGCTGGCATTAAAGGAGCTCTGAGCTCGAGTTTGGGGAGGGCTGCAGCATCTCTCGTGGGGAAGGGGCGATCAGTTGCTTGATGCCCCGTTCCTGTTGTTTAAGGTAGAAAGACAACTCCCGCAAACAGCAATCGGCTGTAAACTTGCATCCGCAACCCAACAAGGCTGGAGCTTGTTCAGTGACAACATGTAGAAATCCTGGCAACACGAACCAACTTCTAATCTCAACTCCGTCCTGTAATTACAGGCCAGCTTCCCAAATCAGGTTCCTATTCCACAAGTATTGGTAGACGTGCTGGTGGTTGCATGGCGGAGCAACGCAGCCAAAGCACGACTGCCCAAGAAAGGGTAACTAGGACGTCCACGAGTTGGTACTTATTTGTTTGTTAGTCCTGCTACAGTGGCGCCAGCGGCACAAGTGCGCTTACGAACAACCTGAAAGCCTCGGACTGACAATGATGTCCATTTACGTCTTTCGATACACCCGCAGGATGCAGGGCAAAGTACAGCTGCCGCGCGCTGCATGGGGAAGGATGACTCACAGGTTCGCGTCGTCGGGTGAAGCATGAAGGGTTCGGGCTCGCTGGTGAGGAGTTCACAGGAGGGATGCCAAAAGAATCGTATCCAGCATGTCGGGCTTTGGGTTTGGGCGGCTCAGGATTGGCATGGTCAGGGTTCAGGGCTTGTGTCATCGTTTGGGTTTCGCCAGAGCACCCTAGGTTCACTCAGAGTTCGACGGCCTCCATCCTAGCCCTTCCTGCCTGCCCTCAAACCTCAAGCCTTGTGCGAAGGGCCCGGCTAGGGCTTGGCACAAGTCCCGGGTTGGTTGCAGCATGTTGCAGCAGTATCGTGTGATCTCGTTTGATGCAGACTTTCCGATGCAGTGTCTACACCTACTCCTATCCTCAAGGCGGAAGAATTTGCGGGAGACCAGCATCTCAAGGAGCATCCGAGCATGCAGCCTGCATTTTATTGCAGCTCCGAGGTATGAAATGTGGAGTCCGGGTACGGGGGTCGGTACCTGGATGCTACAGCTTCAGTGCTATCTTAGGGAATTCCGAGCTGAGCGTGTGGGTATGTGTGGGTGGTTGGTTGGACCTAAGCTTGCTTAGACTTAGAAAATAGTTTCGATGGTCTGTTCTGGATAGTGAAGGCTCTGGGAAGTGCAGTTTGAAGCACCCGATCACAAGCAAGTCATGTCAGTCAAGTGACATGGAAGCCCCATCGGCACGAACCCATGCCTCACTTTCCAAGGAACAGTTCCTGCTGCGGACCTTGTCTGAGTACCGCCAGATGAGAGAACGATTGTCCTGCCGGAAAATCTAGAACACAGGGGCCGGTGAAGAGGTGAGCAGCGAGAGCGGCTACGTCCAGTGGATAGAGTCACTGAGTTCTCCAGATGCGATTTACGATATCTCGAGTTGTTGCCATGGAATGCGATCTTTATTATTGCTGTTGCCACAGCTGAAGATCTCAACCCTAAAATGTAGATGTCCTAGCAAGTAAGCGGATTTTGTAGCGGAGCCTGCCCTCCTGAGACAAGCTCTCAGAGGTGCCAGACACAAGACCAATGAGTCTGCACAATTCGGCCTGAACAGTCGAAGGTTGGCCCCTCCAAGATGCTCCATTCTCCAGAGTTTCTTTCGACACTCGGTTTCTAATTACGACTGCTACCTTCAATCGTAGATTCATACGGCTTGTTCAGGCACACCAGGATCTCAAGGCAGGATGCCAGCCCGACTGCACGAAGCTCGCCTGCTTCCCGCCCAACCCCAAGACTGCCCTGCAGTCAGAGCACTGACCACAAAGCCCAACAGCGACACGCATGACGGATTGGGGGTGGCTTCCTGTGGTCGGACGACCGCGTTAAGGCCAAAGCTGTGCAGCGTGGACGCACCTGGCTGCCTCAAGCCACAAGCCTCACGTGTGGAACCAATCCGAGATCCTTGAACCTGCAGCTTTTAGTGCTCATGTGGATACAACTGCTGGAAAAAGCACGCCGATCCGTAAATTCCTTGATCAGCTCCCAAGAATCAGATAATACTTGGGACCAGAAGTTTAGTCCTCATTTCCGGAAACGGAGGCTTGGGCCGTTTGGGCTGGGATCGCAACCTCCAGAGTGAGAAGGATGCAAAAATGGGCCGAGTCATGCGCACGGCGGGAGTGCCAGCCTAAAGGAAAAGACGGTACCCATCAGTAGATAAACGTACCAGGAGTGATGGTAAGGCCTCGAGAGTGAGCAGAATGAGCCAGGATCTTGGTATCACAAGCTCAAACTATTTGGAAGACTCGGGTCTTGGGGTGAATTATCTTTATCTTGGTGTTCTTCTCGTTGGCTCTTCGGAGTTTAACTTTTTGGGTTTTCTTGTTTAACCTTTTGGAGGGTTTCAGAAGTCAGCCAGGTTAAGAGGTCAGCTTCTGCAGCGTTATCGAATTGCCCTCGGCGCAGCTCGGGACGGGCAAGTGTGAGCGATTGCGGCTTGTTTGGCTTTTGGTGTTCTTCCATCCGTGGGCTGGTGTCCGAGGATGCCCGAACCTCCATTCCAGCACAAAGTGGCAAGGACCCCTTGCAAGCGGCCCCAACAGACGACCTCTTGCCAGGTTCGAACTGATACGACGATGCAAACCACGGCCCGGCGAATGCCTTATAGATCCTTATAGTATGTTATAGCCGTTTTTGCAACTGTCCCCCTGGAGGCCATGGTCCTCTTCTGGCGGCCGAGACCACAGTCTTGTGCTTCGGGGATCTGATGGGCTGCACACAACACTAGCAAGAAGAACCAGTAGGATCATTTTCTTATGATACGCTCGGGGGCGTGGCGATTGACAGCAAACATGAGTACAGTGCGGGGTTCGTACTGTCACGGCATTCGCCGGTGCATAGTCTGCAAAGTTCAGGGGGTGAATCAGCGGAACCTAGCGCAAGGTTGTGGATTCTCGACCCTTAGCCTCTTAAACTGGCTGGATGGCACTTTGCCTGTACGTTGACGTTGCTGTCGCTCCGTGCCGGGCTGCCCAACAATGAGCAACAGGAATGCCTCAATAATTGGCTGCTGGTTCAGAGCCTTCTTCGAGGATTCTTGCAAACGACGAAGATCTCGAGATGCTGATGCTAGTGATAGTGACGGAACCAGTGTGCATCGTGACAGGGCTTGCAACATCTTGCAACTGCTTATGTTGTGGTGCTCTCGGTCGTGATCCTCTGGTGTTAACGATCATCTACAGCAGCTCGAACCGATAGTTCCAATTGCTTGGTACTGCAGCCATCGAGTGTGGCATGTCCACACCTTAGAGCCTTAGGGAGCTTTGCAACTCTGGCAGATGCCACTTGCAAGATTCCGAAATTCTTGGCCCAAGACTTTAAGCTTCATTCTGATTTGATAGTGTAGACCAAAACCCAGCTGCTGCGCAGCAGCTGCCTGCAGGAGCAGACGAAACTGGAGAGTTGATGGGTTCTGTCCTGATGGCTGGGATCGACTGACGTAACGAGAGAGATTCTCAAGACTTCAGCTAGCTCGCTGGATGGAGGAGGGTTGTTACTACTTCTGCAAACGGGGCCTCCTTTCGAGCCACATGTTCGCAAGTCCCCAGGAGCTATCCTGAAGCCCACATTGCCAGCAGGACAAACGACACCGCTGCGGTGAAGGCTCCCCTCCTGCACCTTGAACATGAGCGTCCTCACCCGGAGACCAGAGTTCGAAAGTCAGTTTTTTGTCCTGTTGACAGGCCCACACCACGGCAGACAACTGTATCCCATATGTCCGTGGCTGACGCAGGCTATCCAAAGGATGCTCGGCACGAGAGTACCACTCTAGTGCTGTGTTGCTGGCGGCATCGCTGCAAGCATCGAGCGATGACGATAAAGCCGCAGCTTGTGAATCCATGGCTGTCGAAATCGGTTCCTGAAAATCACTGCAAGATATTTTAGGATTGAGTTCGGTTTGCAACAGGTCAGCCAAGGCTTTAGGACTTCAGGACGTGCAGGGTTACGACCTGAGGATCTGCTCAGCGACACACGGAAGTATCAACGACCAGGCCAGCAGGACGAATATCGCAGTGAGTGTGGTCGGCGTGTCCTTCGACTGCCAGAGCCCTCCCTAGTCTGCGCAAATACTTGATTTCATGTCCAGCTCGTAGACCATTTTTGTCAAAGTCTGTGCACAGCCCAGAACTTCCTCGAATCTTCCGTGGCGCCCGAAAACAAAAAGCATGATCTGTGTTCACGGCTATAGTCTATAGCACGTCGTGGTTTCAAGGTTCTTTTGGCGGTCAGGCGTGTCCATGTTGCCAGAACAGAGCGGCAACCTGCAGCATGCAAGCGCACACCTTACGGCCGCAGCTGCAATGCGGGCTTGTCCTAGCTAGGTGAGAGGCAGGAATCATGGGTGTTACGGTTCGGTTCGGTACGGTTGGCGTTGGCTGCGGTATGTTTCGGGGATGTGCTTGTCGGTGGGTGCGGTTCGGTACTGCCACCCACCTCCCACCCTCCCACACCCTCCCGCCTGCCACCACCACTCCCACCGCCCACCTCCCACCTGCTCCTCCCACCTCCCTCCCGCCTCCCACCCACCCCCGCCTTCCACCTCCCACCTCCCACACCACCGGATTTAGGGCTTGGGGCTGGCTTTATGGTGTTTGGCGGCTTTTTCAAGCAATTTGCAAGTCTTGTCCTGATATCGTAGATTGGGATAAAGTTTACCACATGGGCGGGCAGGGTTTGGGATTGAAGGCGAAGGGTCGAGGATCGCCGACGAGGTGGGAGGTGGGCAGTGAGGAGGTGGGAGGGCGGAGGTGGGGGTGAGGGCGGGAGGGTTTTGGTTCGGTTTGCTGCGGTCCCAGATGTTGCGGTTCGGTTCGATACGGGAGCGCGGGGTTCGACACGATACTCGGTGAAAGTATTGTTGAAACGGCCATGAGAATTTCCTAGCTGAAGTCAGGAAAGCTAGCGTTGCGAGGATTTCGTTTCTATTTGCGTAAGCAGTGGGCCGGGACCGCCGGCCCAGATGCAAAAGACTTCAGATAAATGATATCGACCCCCCCCTCCCCGACTCCCGTCCTCACAGTTGTTGATGCGGTTGGATGCGCCGGAGGTGATGATGGAAACCTCAGTTTCCCCCACGTTGCCGATACAGTTCTGGTTGCATGTGAGGATGACTGGAGCCCGCCTCGCCAGCTTTGTTTCCCCTGCATTGCTGATGTGGTTAGATGTGTTAATAATGCTTGGAGCCCGCCTCGCCAGCTATGTATCGTTTGCCATCCTTTCAGCCCACAGGCTAGCTTTCGTTTGCCTGGCCCCCGCGCCTCAAGTCTTCCGGATGTCATGTTGTGGCTGCTGCTTACGAGTAAAGGAAGTCAGAGAATGCGGAACCATTACGCCGAACACGTGATCCCGTAAGCCCGGCCCGTTCCCAAACCTGAAGATTTGAATGTGCCCCTCGTGATAGCTGCTTGTGCAGTTGCGGGGATGCAGGCGGGCGACTGAAAGGCCCGATCACAACTGGACCCGGACACCTCGACGACTCAGTGGACGTGCTGGGGGAGACTAAGGCAAGGAACTTCGGAAAAGGAGGTTCTCAACTTTCTGTTTTGGTAAGTGCCAGTAGTAACCAGTGTTGTCCCACGCCTATTCTGCTGCCTTAGGCTACAGTCATTCCAAAGTAGCCAAGGCATGTTGTACACAGGCATGTTGACTCAAATCATCACCTCCACCCTGCAACATCAAGGTGGTGGATCGAAAGGCTTTCCCTGCATCAGATCGAGATGATCCGACCCTCGGCTACCTTTTGCCCCAACTCTGCGCCCATGAGCCATACCACTTTGGAGATCTTTGGAGTTTGAAGTCCGTCAGCATGGCTTTTTTAATGGGAGGACAGAACACATCTAGCAGGCTTTCAGAGTCGGCTGCGCCCTGCCTGCCTCCAACATCAGAATGCACACTGGAGCACTTCCAGCATTTTCGAAGAACTTCAGGAAATCAGTGCAGGAAATACAGTGCCGTCCCGGGGTTCTTTCTTGCGGGGTTTCTCTCCAAGCACACGAGGCAAACCTTGACGTCTGTGTAGGTCTGCGAGCACGGACACTAGGAGCGGTTGGTGACGGTCTTGCAGCTCAAGGCGTGATAGTCAAAGCAGAGACGATGGTCAGGGCAGTCGGAGGCCCTAATGCCGATGTTGTAAATCTGGGCTACACCGTCTTCGACTATGTCGCAATGCGCCATGCCGACTATGCTTCCTCGAGCTAAGGTGGGTTGTGAGTTCCCTCCTTTGCCAAATCTTAGGCTGCGGCTCTCGGAAAACAAACCACCAGCCAACCGAAAGCTAGATTACCCTATTACGCATTCAGATTATTATGATTGTTAGACGAATCACTATGAATAGGAGCAGTAGTCGTCGCTGTGGTGCCAGTAGCATTAGTAACAATAGTAATAACATTATTAATAATAATGATCGTCGTCGTCGTAGTGGTAGTAGTAGTCGTCGTCGTAGTCGTAGTCGTAGTCGTAGTAGTAGTAGTAGTAGTAGTAGCAGCAGCAGCAGCAGCAGTAGCAGTAGCAGCAGAGTAGCAGTAGTCACCGCCTAAGGCCAGCCGCCCCTCCGCCGTGTCACGGCAGCAAGATCCAACATTGTTACTTTTCTGACGGTTTTGGGATGAAGACTCCAGGGGATGTAACAATGTATGGGTTTGGTGCTTTTTCAATCTGTGGTTCTGCTGTAGAGGTAGCGGTCTCGTGAGTCAGAAGGTACATGGACGTTTCTTGAAGGCATGAGTGGACAGCGAGTTCAGTTAGCCCTAACCCTACACCCTGGCTATGTGGGAGGGAAAAAAACCCTAAGCCTAAGAAAAGACACGCACCGCACGCACGGACTTTGCGAAAGCGGTGGGCGGTCGCTTGCAGGAAGAAGAAGATTCAGCCCGATGACGAGGGGACGCTGTTTGGCCCCGACGGCATGCCACTGCAGGCACGGGGTCAAGCGCAACGGCGTTATGGGCACGACTTTTTTTAACCAGCGTCATCATTAGTTTGTAAGATCCTCCACGACTCCTATAGCTGTGGAGTTAACGACAAGGCCAGGTGCAAGCAGTAGCAGCCCCTGCCCAGGCGGGGGCCACGATGATAGAGGATGAGGACGCAGGGGTTTGAGTACCCGTGTAAAGACCACCCCGCTTGAACAGGGACCTCCACAAGAGCTTAGTGGCCTTCTATTTATCGGCGGATGCAGGCAACAAGCCAGAAATAGCCCTCGTGGAGTAGACTCAGGCGGAGTATCCAGAAGGCGGTTGAGGAATCTAGCAGGCTTGGCGTCGACAATGGAGTTTAGGAAACCGAAAGTTGTTGGGATACTGTGCGGGGCTCAAGTGTCCAGCAGCTCAGCTTGCAAGGAAATTACAGAGAGCAGAATCCGCTTCCTTCGTCAGGACGGCCACTTGAAGCCCAAAGTGGAGGATCACCAGAAGGCCCAGAGATACCTGAAATGTCGAAGATGCATCTTTCCAAGTTTGCCCGAAGTGCATCTGAATAAGCTGGAGGTCGAGATGCACGACCAGGGCTGGTTCCATGCAGAGAGCAACCGCTACGAGCAGGATGATTGCACGACTGCAGCAACTCGTAACTGTAAACCTGGAATCCAGGTACTGGGATGAGGGTATTGTTGGTGCGATTTGTTGTTCTTCCTCGCCTTGTTGACAAATCTTTATGAGAACTCCCTAGAACATTTATGATATGGTACTGTGGAGGGTGGGGCTCTGCGTTTAAATGTTTTCCAGCTAGTGCCCCTGCTGTCGGTGTAGCATCGATGTTTCTTTCCGTCACAACTTCTTATCCCCCTTGAAGGAGGAGCTGGCGAAGGCTCGGATTGCTTGTTGCTTCCGATTGGGTGGGCATGTGGGCTACACATCGCCTGAAATCTAGAACGGCTCATCCAACAAGACTTTATCTCATTCCACAAGCTCACGAAAAATGACACTTCGGTACTTCTAGACTAGACACTATGCTGTCAGGGTGCACGATCTCTTGCAACCTGAAATACAGAAGCCTGCATCGCAACCAGATGCACATCGTCAGCATTTGCGACGCCGTGCGGCAGCGGCAGGCAAGTGAAAGTGATTCTTTCTCAGGATGCTCAAGCTGTTTTGATTACCGCATGCGGCATTGCCTGTGCAAGCTCGGCGTAGCCCCTTCTACGGAGTGCCCTCCCTAAGCCAATGCCCTGCTGACGGCAGGGCGTCGGGCTTTGCCGTGATGAGCGCTGGACCAACAGCAACTCTGCAGAAGTTGGACGAAGCATCTGGAAGTTGCTTATGTTCAGGCCGCGGATTCGTCATGCAGGCGTCCGAAGCTTTTGGCAGGAGTGCAGGATTGTGAGGTTCTCGGATTTGGAGCACGCCGTGCGAGGCTAAATCTTCGCACCTGCAAAACAAGACCCTCTGCTATCATGCAACGGTAAAGATGATGTGGTGGCTTTTCTTGGCGTGCATGGAAAGACACCAGCCCCAGCTGCTAGCTTGAGAATTCTTCCGGCTTCTTTGATGACAATGCTGCCGGAAGTGGGAGGCAACTTTGGAAACTGTGAGTATAGTATGGGATCCCTTGAAACTTCAAAATGAAAGATTCTTATCTGTCTCTGTACTACGCAGCGACCACCATCACTAGTATACACGTCGCTGCTGCTGCTGCCCGCGCTGGTTGTTGGAGCATTCGCAGCTTCAGGCCCGCATGAGTTCCCAGACCTCGGCCTGACGGGCACCGTGCTGTCGAATGTCACTCGGCACAGAGCACGGACGGGTCAGGATCCTTGTTGTGCAACCCTTAGCCCATTGAAAAATTGAACGTACCCGAAGTTTCGGAAAGTCCCAAATCGTGACCAGGGCATCCTCCAGTGTGCCGTGAGAGGCGTTGGTGCCCTTCCCGCCCAACGATCAGCAGTGCTGGCCTTAGCCCAACTTAGCTTTGAGTCGAGCTGCGTGCGATAGCTCGCTGTGGCTTCGAAACAGAAGTCTGGAAGTAGAAAGTAGAGGGGGCAGCAGCTGTGCTTATACCTAAATCTCAGAAGGGGCCGGAATTTGCCAGCTAGCAGCCCAACATGCGGTGGCAGAGCCGTGTCCGTACCTGTGATAGCAGCAGCAGCATATTTAGCAAGAGGGGTGCTTTCAGGCAGCAAGGCTCCAATTGTTTGGGAGTTACCTTGAACAACATCACCGACAAGCATGACTTGAACCAGTTACATCAAGCGTACCAATGTAGCACCCTGTCTCCATATGCTATGGTTTCAAGTCTCTAGAACGTACACATCCGTAACATAGCGAGCCGCGGTGGGCTACTGTGATTCAGCTGCGACCTGGCTTGGGTGTGGAGCCTCGCTGGTTCAGGTGGAAACTGCAAAGCCCCTGACCTTGGCTTCGCTGCTCAGGTATTACATCTGTGGCAAGTACGACTCAGACGAATCTTTGCTGCGGCCGCCGCTCGGAAGTTTTCATTACAAGTATAAAGTATCAGAAGAGACCGCTGAAGCGATAAGCTCACTGCGGGCTAAGTGTTCGGACAGCGACTCGCCTTGCTCCTTATTCACAAACACTCTTGCAGTCGGTCTGGTGCATTATTGTTTGGAAGCCGGCTTCAGTTGATGTAGATCACAAGCAGGGCTCCATGTAGGTCTTGGTAGGCGATTGCACACGCAGACACGACCAGAGAGATCGCAGCCTGAGGACAGCAGTCCCCAACTTTGCGCATGATGGGCATGGGTCGAGCACGTGGTTAAGGCCTATCACCGTGTGCACGACACTGTCGGATGGTATGGCCGGTGCAGCACATGGGGTGTTTCTCACAACGTGTAGCCCTCTAGGTCTTCACCTTATTTTTGAGATCTGCTTCGGCGGTGCAGTTTGCTTGTCCGCCCCGGGTTCTCGGGGTGCTGACAGCTGTCAACCTTCTACGCAGCCCCGCGACAGGTTGGTAGACTTCGCTCAGCATGCAGATGCCGTACACCTCTTCGATGAGTTCAGCAGTGTCGCGGCTGTAACCGTTGATAAGGTCCCTGATGGGGGGTGGCTCAGAGTTGCGCCACGTCACTGCGTACACAGCTGCAGCGCTGCTTGAAGGGAGAGCCGAGCCTAGAATGCGGGGGTCACCCGCTAGCTTGGCACTGAGCCGGCAACGAGCGCAACAACCAGACTCGTCCTCACAACTAAGGCAAGAGTCACTGCGGCAGGGTCTACCAGGGTGCGCTGGACAATGGCTACTTCGTAGAAGCTTTGCAGGCACTCGCTGGGCATCATGTGGTTTCCTCGGTCTGGGGCTGCTTGTGCCTGGGTCGTTTCTTTCGATACAACTTGGACACTGTAAAGAGATGTAGGCCGTGGTATCCAGAAGCTGTATCCAGCCCTGTGGCTGTGTAGTGCTAGGCCCGCAGTTCGGCCTGTCGCGTTTGTCGTTTTGGGTTTTTTGTAGTAGGTTGCAGGGAGAGTTCAGCCCTGTGTGCACAGCAGTTGCACAGCAGTAGTCAGCAGCAATAGCTGAATCTGTCGAGCCTGGAGTTCGAGCCCAGAATCGCGGAAGCGCGGCGGGGGGGGGGGGGGGGGGGGGGATTGCCTCTCAGGGCAAGTAGGCCACAGCGCAAGCGTCAAGAGATGCCCGAGAGGCAGGACGACACCCCATTAACAATGAAAGGCCATATCGCTGCGACCGAAGCTCGTCAAGCAGCTCTTCTATGCTTGGCAAGCCAGGAGGCACGAGAGCTTGGCAGTTGATTGGTCCACATTGAGGTGTGTGGGTCGAGTTTGGGTGAGGCTGGGGCACCCAACACTGCAACGACAGCACAACTTGCGGCATTCAGATGAATGTGTGAATGCAACAGAACTTAAGCCTTAAGAGCCATGCCATAGCGACAGGCCCGAGAAGATGGTAAAGGTTCAACGAGGTTGCGGCATGTGCGGGCTGGGAAAAGTCCAGTATCTGGATTCAGACATTGGATTGGCTGAGTGAGACCTGAACATTTGGGCTCGGTCTGAACGAATCCAATCCCGGAGCGAGCATCAGAAACCTCTCAGAAGCGTCAACAACTGACCTTTGCCCATGCCTCCTCGGAGGCAGGTCTCAGAACAAGCACATTTGACTTGCAGTCCTGCCGGCCGATGTGCACCAGGTCTGTCTACATAGCCAGGCTCTACAAGCACGGCACCTGGATGCGAGTGGAGGTGGAGCCCTGTCCGCCAGACCGAACGCAGGTCATCCCAAGCCTGGGTTTCACCACTTCTTACTCCGAAAGAGAGGCGTGTCATATCCGGGACCCTCTCAGCGCCTAGGCCCGGCCGCTTCGATTGGCCCCCGAGCTCTGTGGCACTTCAAAAGCTTGTGCAGAGCTCTGAGGACGACTATGTCCCCGTCGGTCGGCCCGGAAGGCCAGGACTTTTCCGAAGACCAGAAAAGTGAGAAGGCTTTTGGTGAGCGAGAATTGAAACCCTTCATGCCCTTCACTGTACAGGGTCTGGATTTATCGCCAATACCACCGTAGCTCAGCGCGGGTTGAGATGGAGTTCTCTAGCCGCATCTTCTCAAAGTCTGGTCTGGTCCATTCCACACTACAGCATCCATGTTTGCCTCCGGCATGTTCAGTGCGGACAATTCAGAAGCACAGGAATGACACAGATGTCAACGTGCCAATCTGCTGCCGCTCCGAGCACTTCCCGCATCTCGATCTGCTACATTACCTAGCATACCAGCGCTTGTCGGGACAAAGCTGGCGATGTAGCCTGCAGAGAAGACTTTCAGAATGGCTTGGTCTGTCCAGATCCTGAAAGCAACCCTCATTTCAGGAATGTCATCTGGCCAAGCCTTATCGAGAAGGCTTATGTGCCTCGGAAGATGTATTGACCAGAGAGCTTTGAAGCATAGTCTTGACGAGCCCAGCATGAAGGCCACTCTGATCTCATGTGTATTGGTGTCTAAGACACAGCAAGCCTCCCTGCTGGCCCAACACAGGTGCACTGATGGTTCTGTGCTTTGCACATGCCCATCGCCTGAAGTTCTGCTGACTTCAACTCATAAGCAGCTTCAACATATTCGATCGAGTTGCACTGGCATGATATAGCATGCCAGCAAGTCTACCTGCACTGAGGCAAAGATCCACACCCTGCGGCTGAGTCCCAGTGCAGTTTCAGAGGAGGACATGGGAGGCTCGATGGGACGCCATGAGCAGAGCAACCCAAAAAAGCTTTTCCCGAATTCCGCACTATTCATGCAAGCAGTTCTGGTAGCCCTAGCAGAACCCAAATATGGAACCATGGAGAGGATTGCTTCGGAAATTGATCTGCCTTGTCACACATTTCCTTGGCCAGATAAAGCACGCAGAGTCCGCCGGTGGTTCCATATATATATACACATATATATATATATATCTGTGTATGTATGTATCTATCTATATTTATATTATATTATATTATATTATATTATATTATATTATATTATATTATATTATATTATATTATATATATATATGGAGATTCCGCAAAAGACGCGAAGCCTGGGTGCACACGAATTGCGGGAGCTCCGACACTTTCTATCCACACAAGCGATGCGAACAGCTGAATCCCAAGATAAAACGAAGAAGACGAATCGTTGTGGCATCTTTGTCGAGCCTTGCTGGGGTCAGGCTGGGAGGCACTGAACGGCGGCGGCAAGGTCGAGGACAGTGCTGTCCGCAGGTTGGCCCAGTGAGGGCTTCGGCGTAAGGGAGGCTGCAGCTGCTGCCAGGACGCCCTCGCCGACCTCACAGGAGGCGTCGCCGGCCGTTTCTACACGCAGGACGCACCTCAGCCTCGCTTCAGTCTCCAGAGATGGCGTTGTGGCGGGAACCGGATGCAGGTGGGCCTAACAATATGCCACGCGGAGTCTGAGACTTTCGCAGTGGCTTCAGCATGGAACCCCTGCGATTAACGCCGAGGAAGCAAGACCCTTGAAGAGAAAGATCTCGTTCTGTCAGCTGTAATTCGAAGTCCTCAAACACTAAAGCCTCAGTGATGCTGCTGCAGACACCAAAGGGGTCCTCAAAAAAAAGGCCTCTGACTCCAGAAGCCGATTAAAGCTGGACTTCGGAAAGACTTAGGTCTCCCCCGACCGGCTGTTCATCTACATCCACGACTTGCAGCGGGACTTGAGTTGCTCGTGTCTTGAGATCTCGGTTGTGGTATAAGGCCCAATGCCAAAAGCCACTTCGCGACTTAGCCAATGTCGGTCGGTTGAAGCCCTGCTGCAAGCCCCGACGTCCTGCTGCCTGGCAGGACACACTTTTTGTTTGCAGGCCAAATCCCACGACATGTGAGCTGCAGGGCGTCAGGCCAGAAGGGTGTCTGGCGGGACCATGTGGAGCTTTCTAGTATGCTGCAATTTCAGGGACGACGTCTTCTTCGGGTGTCCAGAGAAATGAGATGACGCAGTCGATCTAAGAAGCCGAAAACACTCTTGAGCAAGAACGAAGCCATAGGTGTGGATCGTTTGTGCATTCGACTTCTCATCCCGTGAGAGTGACGTGGCAGGCTGAATCCGTATTATCCCTATGCTGTAAATCGAGCAGTTCAGTGGGAAGGCCTGCAAGCTGTGTGCTGCGACTGTCCACAGCAGTGAAGGGCCCTCGCGTAGTCTTGCCTCGAGACACGGCTACAGAGCCACACCGTGGTCCTCTTCGCACTGCTCTCCCCGGTCCGCCTTGCTCCAGACCCATGCCTCCGCACTTTGCAGACTTTGCACATTGCTTTGTCGAATTGCTTCTTCTCGACATGTGCGCAGTCTCATGGGGTGTGTTTCGCTCGCCCTTTCCCTCGCAGGCGGCTTGTATCTTCAGCTCTTCTGCGGAGGTCCGGGTGTCTATGACGGTCCCTCGGCAGTGAGGACAAGCCCACAAGACTCCATGAGATGTAGATTTCGATGGTTAGGTTAGATTGAGGCGATGCCCGGGTTTCAAGCCTGCTTTGGTAGCCCAGGCTCCGGGAGAACTTCGAAACACTGAGCTGAATACGTCCAACAAACCTCAGCCCAAGCCTCGTAGACAGGTGGCCTTCAGGACATCACCGTCCCCTACACGCTGTCGCGAAATGAGAAGTATCCTGAACCTTGGGAGCACTGGGCTCGATTCGATGTGAAGATGTTATCTTGCATTAAAGAGGGGCATACGTACAAATGCAGTGTATAGTGAATCACAGACCTGTGCTTTCAGATCCCCAGGAGCGACGAGAGGATGGCAACTTGGCTCGCATGCACGATTGATCCCGGAGTCTGAAGCTCATGCGGAAGCACACTCTGAACACTAGGTGTTTGATATCTGAAACGCCTTAGGGCCGTCGACCTTGTAGCTAACTCGCCTTCAACACGACAGTGTTCCTTCATGATACATGAAGCCACTGCAATGACTGAGGATTAGGAGGCCGCACTTACTTCCTGCATTTTCACGGCTGCTGTTGCTACGTATCCAATGACTGCTGATACTGCACGGGTCATTTATCAGCAACCGACTGACAAGCCTACCAACTCAGAACGAAAACGCTGAAACTTCAGATGCCGCTCTGACTCTCCTGCCCCAAATCAAGCATTCCCTCAAGTCCGGCGCCGGCAAGAGCATGAGGTTTCTTTTGGCTAAATGCCGAAGACTTCCACGAGTACTTCGGTACCATCTTCGAGTGCCGAGCCTGCCTTCGTTTTGTTCATGAACATAGCCAGAAGGGGGTCTTGGCATCATGCTAGAGAGGTTGTCCTTGCTGCTCTGTATGTCTAATTGCATAGTCGAGGCAGGGAAACGTCAAGCTCAATCATCGAACCGAGATCTTGCGATGCATATTTTGGTCGATAACCTGCCGATCGAACGCTCTCTCTCCCTCACACAATGGCAGTAGGCCTTCGGGGAGGCGTATGGAGCGACTACAGGCTGACTAAAATTCGCACAGCTGCAAGATGCGTGATGCCCAGAAGTCAACATCCTCCAAGGTGCCGACTCGTCAATAGCGGAGATGTCTCGCTGCCGGAGATGCCACCCCCGCGATTTGAGACGATCAGGTCTCCTTTTCGCGAGGGGGGGGGGGGTGCACTTCTTGTTGGGTGGCATTCCGGGCTCCAAAGTCAATCGCAGGATCCACCAACCTGAATCTCCATCAGGCCACCGCCTTCAGAGCTGGCGCTCATGGCAGCTGGAATGATGGCACCCTGGCACGCCCATGCCATGCCTATGCCTTGCACTTTTGGTAACACGTTGCGTCGTTTGGGCCGAGCGTTTGGATCATCTTCGGACGGTGAGCATGGTGAAACAGCGTTAAGCTTTCGTAGCTGACACGGCACACAAGATTTCAAAAGATCTCCTGGGCATGTGCTGGCAAGCTTGTGGCCATTGGATGACGATGGAATTGTTGTGGCTATGTAACCTGATAATCAGGGAGAAAGCTGGCATTTCAGGCTCCAAGCATGGGCGACATGGGCCTTGCAGGCGTTTTTCGGCCGCAAGGGTAAATTCGGGACCAGAGCCGTGGGTCCTTGGGAACCGGCTCTTAATTGCATTTCCGAGAGGGGGGGGGGGGGGGGGGGGGGNNGCAGGTTGTTCTGGAAATTCGGACTCGATTGATGCATGACTCGGGAAGCAGACACCAGGCAATGAATGTTCGAAGACTCGTAGGCCGCAGGGTTGATGAGACATTGTTGTTATCGGCCCCACGTCATCGATCCCTGAACGTTCAATCCTGAGCATGACGTGTAACTGCCAGGAAATGTGTTCAAGGCACATTTTTGTAATCATGAGCGAGAACTGGAATGTTGAAGAGCACGGGCGAGTGGATTGGGGGTTGTTAGCGTGCAGTTTGCAAGCTTGCATTGCACTGTGTCGCAGCCATTTCTTACCGCGTGCCAACTGCTCAGTGAAGAGCCTCCAGCATCTCGGCAGCAGGCATGTTTGCACCTCCGTGGCGAAGCGTGAATTCGCACCACCATGCAAGTAGTCCTTGAGCTGCTTCGGATAGTTTCTTTGAGCCGCCGCGGATTTCTCGTTCCCGAGGCCGCCATGGACAAACGAACTGTGGGCTGCCTTGGTGGAGGCAGATTACTGTGTCTAAGGATGGAAGGAATTCGGAATGGGTGTCATTCTTGTTTTCAGCTCGGGATCGAACTTCAGCATACTTCAGCGTGCGCTTGGTTTTGTGATATTTTTGTTGCTCGGTGCAGGCCAGCTGGGCCGAATGATGGTCTATGCTGCTCATCGATTGGGAGTTTCCTTGGCTGAACAAGCGCGATTGTGTTTGCGAGGAAGTAGGTTGATCGGGCGGGCCAGACTGACGAAGCTAGAGCCCGTTGCCGCCAGCGAGATCATGTTTCTCTGTAGCCGCTGTAGCCCACATGGAACCTCAAGGATACGTTGACGAGGGTTTCGCTGCTTGAGGGATGTAGAGACGCAGGAACCAAAAGTTTTGAGTGTGAGACTGAGTGTTGAGGGCTTTGGGGACTTAAGCTTTATGCTAAGCTGTGGAGATCCAGGAACCTGCGGTTTGTAAAATCACATTGCTGTTTTGATGCATCGTGCCTGTGCAACTTAGGTTAGGATGTGCGTGCTCGATCCGCTTGGAGAGAAGTCTCCTGCCGGACAGGTGCCGCTGCCCATGACGGGGCTGCATCATATGCTGAAGTATGGGGTGTTGTGCTCGAGTCCAGTCCAGCCACTGTCTTTCAGCACGACAATCGCTAGCCTTTCAATCCTTGCAACACTGCAGCCGTCCAACGTGCCAGGTTGCCGAAATGTCGGTGAAAGGCAGCTTCCAGGCTGGCCGGTTCTAGCTAGGTCAAATCAAATCTCATCCTCACATTGCTGTGGGGACTGAATGGAGTGAAGTTCTGCATCTTATCCGCAACCTCACGCGGGTGGTCAACTTGTAGCAGAAGCCACTGCACCGAAGTTACATTGCGTGCGTTGCGTCGAAGACTCGGTCCAACATCCTTGCCTTAATTTTCAACCCGCTGTAAAGCCCCCTCCAGGATGCCGAGGCTGTCCGAGCATTGGCAAAGAAGTGCGACATCCTCACGCTCGAGGTAGAGCACGTCAACGCGGAGGCTGCCGGCAATGGTTCTAATTGCGAGCACCGATCAGGTTACGGTTCAGTCACTTTAAAGTGGAGCAAGAATCACAACTGCTCATCACCCGCTAGCAAGCCACCAAAGTGAACGGTACCGACTATTTAGTCATCACCGCCTGGGTTCCAGGAAAAATTCCATCACCGACTGCAGGAGCATCGTCAACATCAGCGTGGCAATTGTTCGCATTGTGTTTTTAACCAGCGTGCCGCCGCTCATCAGGCGCACCGTGATATCGTCGTCACCATCATCATCATCATCACCATCATCATCATCATCACCACGACCATATTGGTCTGTGACCTCCAACAGTGCCTCAATGGCATACCTGAGGCTGCAAAAGTCAATTTGCGCAAAAACTCATGTGATGTGTCCAGGCCTCAACTCTGAAACCGGAGACTTGTCGTGAAGCCTTGCCTGACTTGTGCCCCTAAACGCTAAACCCGTGGCTAATGTGCTAGCCTTGGGCCAACGTGCTCTTCGCCTCGTACCAGTAACCTCGCCCAGACTTGTCCGAGTGCTGAAACCTTAAACCATGTGCCTGTAAGTTGGTCGTCACTTTGTGGCTAGCTGAATCTGGATTGTGTGGAGCCTTGCATGCCTTGCCCGAAGCCCCTAAACCCTAAAACCCTAAACCATAAACCATGAGACCTTCGCCTGCCATGCCTGGTTTGCCTGCTTTGTGTGAGAGTCGAAACCCATGAGACACCAGATTTCCGGGAGGTGCTCGAGGAGCTCCATCAGGCAGGAGTTCCGGTTCAGCCGCTTCCCTTCGTGGTGAAGCTCATCCAGGCCTGGTTAGGTGGCTAGGCTAGGCTGGTATAAAAATCTCCTCTTGTCATTCTTGGGTGTTTTCTATAAGACTGTCTTTCAGGCTCACGTGATCATATATAAAGAGGTTTGTGTGAATGATTCGAGGTTTGAGGTAGCTTTGGGATGCAATGTGCAGATATATTGCAGGCTTTGCAGCAAAGGGTTAGCACAAGCATGCCCAGACATGCAGGTGCATTGCATCCACGCCGCGAAATTAATAAGAAACTTGCAATGGCAATTGGCACCTGACACCTTTGCCGCCAGGACAAGTACGTCCAGCAACTCAGATGGTTTATGTCAGTTGTCATTCCTCGTGCTTGTGCAGTTGGATCTTTGATCTAATTTGGGTTCTCTAGCTTTACAGGGCAAATCTCGGAGCATGCTTGAAGAATTCCAACACTTCAGACTAGAAGTGTTTCAAAGGCTCCTTTGTGCGTCTTTCCTTTCTAAACATGCCTTGCAAATCTTAGGAAGGTCCATCTTCAAAAGCATGGTGTGCCTTTGCCCGAGTTCGAGAAGGTCGAGTCCGACACTTGTACAGCAGAGCCGACTTTCGTGATTGCACCAGCACGAGACGCAAGCTTCGATAGGCCGCTTACACATGTGGCGAGCGTCCAGTTCTGTTGGTGCGAGACCTGTTAGCTTCACGGAAGATGACCAGGAAGCTGACTTGCACAGCATCGGCGAGCGATTCGGCTACCCCATGATGCTCAAGAGCAGCCTTTAGCCTGCACCGTGTCGCTGCATCTCACGTTTCGGGGTCTACCCAAAGTCGCCCAAGTTCAGAGTCTCGTCGGAGTATCTCCCGTCGCTTCGAGAGCAGACCTCCTAGTTCTGTTTGCTAGTCGAAAGATTCGGGTAGGTGTTGAGACACCTTCAGGCACATCATTTACTGCTGGACCTGCTGAAGTTGAGGATACGGTGCCTACGACGGCAAGGGCAATGCTGTCGTGCCCAATGCGCCCCTGGCCATCAATGGTGACAGGGACCTTGCTTGGAAATATGGGTTGCCACTTCCATCCGGACTTGCCTTCAACGATTGCCGGGGAGTTTCGTAAACCTGCAAAGCCCCAGAATCTTGCCTGATGGTTGCAACAAACATGAGAAGCCGCGCCCGAGGCAGGGCATCACAGCAGCCTTCGAAAAGCTTGGTGGCAAGGCCGGAAAGCATCTCGGCCCCTGCGGGGTCTGGCGTTTCGGAAATCAGGGTTTATGGATGTGTGGGGAGCAGGGCATTGGTTCAGATTCGGACGCAAAATCCCCCAAGAAAAGAGCCAAGCCGGGAAAGGGTTCAGCCCACGCAGATTTGTACGTAGCATTTTAGCAGACGTCCCTTTGTGCGCTACTGCTTCGATCCGTGCCAGCCAAGGAAGTTGTATGAACCTTGACAGCAAACAGGGCTACCAGAAGCTGGGCAGTTTGCGTCAGCCTGCATTGTTCAGCAGCTGAATCAACAGTCCCCAGCTCAGCTGAGTCTGCAACATAATCTGCCCGAGAAAACTGCTGAGGTGGAGAAATGGGCTCCTTTCAAGATGGAGCTGGCAGTGATGGTCGCACGCGGTGTGGACGAGACCATGAACGTCACCATGCGCAGCTTCGAGAGACAACAGTGAAACCCAGAGGGGCGCTACCCGCTACCGAAACCCGAATCTTGGATGATCCGTACGGCGCACGCCGTGAAAAAATCCAATGCAGTATCAAGCACAGCCATCCTAGGTCCTACCAGCTGCAGCACAAACTGACCACCCCTTTTGAAGTTGTAGACCGAGGCACGTACCCAGTGGTGCATACCGTCCAGCGCGACAGTGTTTGCTTCACCTGCCTGACACCCCCGGTGGGAGCTACTTGGACTTCGTTGGACCGAGTTTTGGCCTGGATGCCTCAAACCCGCGAGACCGTTGCATCCAGCTCCATGTCGACAAGGTTACGCAGAAGCAGCAGGAGCTGGCGCAGAAGATTGCCACCGACGCTATCAAGAGCTTTGGTGACCGGGATCAAGTTTCTACCCCGAATCTGGAAAAGTTTCAGGGCCTGTCTCGTGTCATCCTGAAGCATTGGTACAAGTAAGGCTTATGCCGCATGTCTTTCATACCTGGTTATAGCCAGGATGACGCAGAATCGTATGGTTAGGTTGATAGCTGCTAACGATGTTGATGTTGGTGCTTTTGGTGGCGGTCGTGCTCAATATGCCCCCCGGGTTGACCATGGTTAGCCACTTTTCGGGCCTTTGAACAGGACTCAGCCTCGGACCTACACCCTCACCTGACTTCATCCTCAATCCCATGGGCAAAGCACCGATGGGGAATCAGCACACTCGGAAGAGCATGCAACACAGCACAAATCTTCCGTCTTCGAGCTACCACCGTGCGATGACTCTGCAAGACGATGCAGTAGACTCTTCGTTCTTATGGTCATGCCGTGGCTGTAACATGGACACTGCGACCAGCAGCAATATCTAAAGAACAAGCAGACTCAGCTCCTTACAAAGTAGCCGCACAGCAAGCCAAGGCATTTGCCAAAGGTGTGTCTTTGAACCCTGGGGTACAGAGCATAGTGCAGAGGCGACGCTCGGGGGATCTTTGGTGTCGAGATGTTCCTTCTCGAGGATGGCTCCGTGCTGCTCAACGAGCTACTCGAATGGTGTTCCAGAGGATTTTTTCACATAAAGCTTTGAGTAATTTGCATCAGAAGTGGACATAGAATGCAAAGAATGCGAGTTATCTCCCATGCTGTGCCCAGCAGAACTCAGGATCGCACCGCGACCGCACAACACGGGCCACTACACCATGGCTGCTTGGCGCGAAGAAGGGATCAGGGCAAGCCGAAGCTGCAGGATGGCTGCTTAGCCGTTCCGGCCGCCTTTGCACAGCAGAACTCACGGCGTAGTGGAAGTGCGGTCATGGTAATCCCTGCATTGAAAGGTAAAGGCTGAAGTGATGACAAGGATGGTGAAAGATGACTAATCTGATGGCAACAAGTGTTGCTGATCCTGTTGCACGATGTTGGAAAAGAAGATGATGGAGATGGATGATGAGGATGAGGATGAGGATGATGGGCGATGGTGGCACTGAAGATGATGCTTGCGTTTCTACTCGAGGTTCATCAAGATCGGATCTTGAAAGATCAACTTTGGACCTGTCAGGAAGCTTGCGGCGTGGATCAGTTCGAGCAGCACCTGCGGTGTGTGCTGGGCCTCCCCTTGGGCGACTGCCAGCTGAGTGCCCCTGCTAACCATGTTGCAGAAAGTCGTGTCCTCAATAGTGTTCCGGGCGCATCACGATGCAAGAACAACACTGAACCAGGCTCCTAAGATTGAAAACTGGCTACATGAAGACCTTCCGCCAGTCTGACGTATTGCGGGCTGCAGCGCCATCAGTGCTGCTTTGAGTCTTCCACTTCTTGTGAAGGATGGTTTGTTGGGTTTCGTGCACAAGAGCATGCATGCGCAGAAAGACTTGCAAGAGACATGTGGGGAACACATGACCCGCATTTTGGATAAACTTGCCAGGAGTCGGCGGCGCCATGATGGTGAGACTTTGAAGGCAACAGCTTGTGTACTCGTGTCGGAGTCGCCGCTTGCGTGTCCCCAGCGAAGAATGGCTTGTGCGGTAAATGCTCCGACACTTGTACACTTCAGGGTCTTTTCGCTACCGGCACTACCGCTGATAAGAAGCAGCCATACAAGCGTGGCACAGTGGCTTCTGCCGAGGAACATCCTCGGACAGGGTGAGACGCCGGAGATGGTGCCCGGGCAATAAAGGATGCTTCAGGATGCTACTGGTATAAAGTAGACAACAGTCAGCCATTTTGCCGGATCGTAAGTAACGGAGGCCGCCAGAAGTTGATTGCTAGGCATGACATTGTACTTCTTCTTTGCCTGCTCAGAACGCCTGATACTGAGGTGACGAAGACCATGGCGCCCCTTCGGCGCGCACTTCTTGTGCCGGATGCCGGCATCCATTGGTATGGCAAGGTGGGTGCACATACTGGTTGTTGTTGGTGCGACTTCGGTTGGAACTGGTGTTTCCGGCTTTTGGAATGTAATCTGGGAAGCAGCAGGTCCCATGCAACTGTTGAAAATGGGCCTGCAGCGGCCTGCACATTTCAGATTCAGCGAGGCTCTTGAAGCTGGACAGGAATTTTGAGGCGTGTCAAGTGGTTCTGAAAAAGCAGCCTTCGGGTTGCTGGACCAGATTGCGGCACCAGCTCGGCCACTCATCCCAACCTCCAATGCAGAAGTAATTGTTTTCGGAATTGAGTTGTTGACGAGGTGACGAGAATCGGACGTGGGAGTTTGTTTGCGCGCATTCGCTTCGTGAGACATCCCTTTGCTTGGTAGTGTCAGGCTCCTGTCAAGCTCCCGCAAATTCGTCATTTTTTGCGTTAAATGCGAGTCATGCCTGGCCGCAAGTCCTCGAGAATTAAAGCCTTCCTCCCTGGACCTCGGAACGGAAATCAACATATGTCGTGAGGAGGGCTGTGCCAAGGGCCGGAAGATGGGCAACTCGGATGAATCCTTTCGAACCTTTTCGTCGTTAGCTGAGGAAGACTAGAGATCAGACAGTGTTTCCTCGGCTTTTTGGGCCAGCTCACACTTTGATTTTTTCACTACATGGGATGTTTCGCTCCTTCGATGTTTCAGCAGCTCTGAAGCTGAGGCCACATTACTGTGACCGGCTTCACCCCGGCCAGCGCGTTGGAAGAAATCCGCCCCGTTCTGGCGGTGCTTTGGATAACAGTTTATTGGTAAAGCTCTATGGTCTTGTGTACTGTAGTTATGTTAGAGACAGCACGCACCTTTTTTTCAGGATGCCCGAAGCCGTCAATGAACCATATTCAGTTTCCAGGCACATCTGCATCGCATAGCAACATGGCACTGTGCATCAGAACTTAGAACCACCCAATCAGCGATGCAAAATCTTGATGACTACTTGTTTGTAGCATGAGCTTACGCAGTTTTGGGAGTACCAGCTGTTTGCGTGAAGATTTGAGGCTGTTGATGGTGATGATGCCGTCAACAAGCTGGATGCTCCTCGCAGACATCCGAGCGGAGTTGCCAGATTTGTGCATGGTTGCTACTATCCGAAAGAAGCAGAGAGGGTATGTTGTGTACTATTCCTGCAACAGGTTCCGACCAAGCCCGCGCCCAGCGTGGGGATCATCATGGGCAGTGACAGCGATTTGCCCACGATGAAGGCCCACAGCCCTTGAAGGTTTTTTTTTTATGTTGTCTTTGCAAGACCATTAGATTCCTAATCCTCGGACACCCGTCAGACTGAAGCCCTGCTCAGCCCACCAGGACGCTGCTCAGGTCCTCGATGACTTCGGCATCCCATACGAGCATCTCACTTGCCTTAAGCGGAAGATCGCTTCGGGCTTGTGATAGGCGGATTTTGATGGTGGGGTGGAGGCTGTCCCAAGTCTCGCATCCTCACAAACCCAGCTCCAAAGAAGCCACTGGAATGCAGATGCTCCCACAGATATGCATTGTCCCCACACTTCAGGATCAGCATTGTTTCGGCTCATCGCACTCCAGAGTACATGCTGCCTGGCTTTGTCAGAAGGAGCTTTGGGTCTTGAAGCCCCACGTGTCCCTCAGGGATCTAATTGGGGCGCTGTTTTCGCTTGCTGTGGGGATCACAGGCAGTTAAGGCGCCGGGTTGAAGCTGAAGGGGCAGCTGCACTTGCATCAGGACACATGTGCGACTCAGCAAGGGTAAAGTATAGACTCAGGGGAACAAGTGGTTCGAAGCATCCCCCTCGAAAAATGAAACACCTCACCATCATCCGTGCCAGGACTACGAACTTGTCACTTGGGCCGTTATTTTCGGAAGCCGGAAGCTCCCGAAAAATCTCCCAGGTACGAATATGCTACCACAGCGGAGGCCCGAGGCATCAACGTCATCATCGCAGGCGCCGGCGGCGCCGCGTGCTTCGGCGTGGGTATGGGATTGAGAAACTGTCCCGATGCGACTCGAGATGAGATGGTAGCCGTTCAGGACGTTCTGGATGAATTGTGATTTTTGGATGTGCGGGGCTAGAGATCGAACAGCCTTTTCGGCGGGTGTTGGGCGTTTGGATTCCTCAAAGATTCGCCACATGGGCTTTGCAGCACCACACCCGATACCCTGAACCGAGGCTTGAAACGGTGCCAACAGATGATGTAGAAGTCAGCCCTAAATGAGCATCAACAACCCTGGAGCTCCAGAATCCCATGCCAGCGTGGGAGTTCTGCCGCTTCGGCGCAACTGACCATTGCAATTCTCATGTATTCCACAAGTCACTGCCCAATATGATCAATTGCTCAAGGTGTCTCTAAACTTCTATACTGTAGAGGTCCAGATGTGCGAGTCAACGAGAGAGCGACTGGCTGTAAACGGCCGCTCAGGCACCTCCCTGGCATGGTGGCAGCCCTGACACCCTTGCCAGTGCTTCTGGGCGTCAAGATTTCCGACCTTAGTCCCATGTACGCCTTCCCAAATTCAAGAGACCGGGCCCAGGCTTCTTCAATGTGAACTCTCAGGATATTTAGACTCCTTCGTATTCCGCGGTTTCGGCATACTTCGGACATGTTCGGACCCTTGACCTCGCAGCTTCAGGCCTTGAAGGCGGAAGAGGTGGAGGATTCTAGTACACGGCACATTGAGGGCGAATGGTGACCACAAATTCGTGTGTGTTGCGTCTCCTCAAGAACAAACCCCACGTGTGTATAAAGTCCACTAAGCCCATTGAAGTTCAAGACTTTCCTGTTGCTTGAGGATTGGCGTGCCTGTCAAGTCCTCCACCCTGAGTGGCAACGACTCGCTGCTCTCCATAGTGCAGATGCCGAAAGGCACAGTGATGTGGCCTGTGGGCGCAAGGTTTCCGTTTTGCAAGTTTGGGGGATTTCCGGGTCTAAGGCAAAGCCGTGGAAGACTTGTGTAAAGACTGATCAACTCCTGAAAGAGGCTGGAGGTTCCCCATCACAACAGATTATTCGACACTATGCCCGAGGAAGCCACTGCAATCCACGAAATAAAATTCCGAGAGTAGAAAGATGCTCAACCTGTGCATGCGGATAGCTCCGCGGAGCTGAAGCTGGGCTTCAAACATCTTTCAACTCCTGGAAAGAGCATCCACGGACCTCTCCCAAGAGGCATTCCCGTGGCCACCGTGGCAATCGGCAACGCGGCCAATGCGGGACTTCTCGCCGTGCGCATCCTGGGGGCTGCCAACCCAGGCCCCGAAATGGATAAATCCTTACAGATCCCAGGGCCCCCCAGACGGTTCTTTGGGCGGTATCATACCAGGGCGCCGCAGAAAAAGGGCGACCGAAACCCCCCGAAAGCCCCCAAAAAGGAACTCCCTAAAAACTCCCTGGCTCAGGCCAGAGGCAGAAGATGGCCAGGTATATGGCCTCTTGGCTCTTCAGCAGGGCCCTCCGTTTTGAGCGCAAGATTGGTGAAGTCTGAAGTAGGAAGGAAACGTATTCATGGAGAGATGGAAAGGAGTGGGAGAGAGAATTTGTCCTTGAAAGTGATGAGCTTACTATCAGGATTCAGCCGGGAACGCCTGAGGGCTTAGGATCAAGGGGTCAAGGGGCAAGCACAGGTTTTCCTTCCGGCATTTGCATGCACTAGGGTGACACGTTGTCCAATGCAAGCACCTGTTGGACAGTGGCCATGTTCGGGTGTGGACTTTGCTGCAAACTTGAGAGACTTCTTTGCATTTGTAGAGGCTTCGTGGGTCCGGGTTGAAGGGGCATCGGTTCAAGGCTGACGAAGCCGCGACCGTTGAGAAAAAGCGCCGAAGACTAGAGCAAGATGGCTGGCGGCTTTGCTGCAACCTAACCAGATAGACTTGGAAGCAGCACCTGGCGAACTGCGAATCCGCCCAGCGTCGGCACAGTAGTCCATTGGGTAAGCTTGTAACTCGATTCCATGCACCCACACTTTGGTACATGTGTGTGCCTCCTCGTTGTCAATGAAAAGGCCGGCAGAGGGCCCTGCCATTGTACAAGTTGTTGAAAGCTTCCCAGAGCTGCCTTTTCGGGGAGTGAATGCAGGTGGGAAGTTCTCTAGAAGCATAGTTGTTGGTTCTGGGTGCGTTTCCACATTGAGTCTTGGGTGACGGTGACTTCTTCAAGTGTTCCGGAAGTTGTTGGTGGTCGCTTGGGAGGTTGCGAGGACGCAGTATAAACTGTGCGTTCAGTTTCTCTCTGACAATGATCCTGATATGATGTGCCGAGAAAGCCGCAGATGAACAATACAGGGAAGAAAACCTATCCACCCGAAAAAACGACTGCATGGCTCAGCCTGCAGGCTACGCTCCGTTTCCACATTTTCCAGGACTTATGCATTTGGTTCGCCCGCGGATGGGGAAGCAACTATGCATGAGCCAAGGCAAGCATACCTGGCGGTCGCCAACGGTAAAGCGAAGCCTGCTTGCATGTAAAACTTAGCTAAAGGGCCGGGGTTGAGCTCCAACTTGCAGAGTATGCTGGCTGCTGGTTTCAAGACTTTACAGATTCTTGGGATGCGGGGCTGCGGAGGGTTGGGTCACGGAGGACATGTGACATGTATGTTTGTTGTTTTCCGCTTTGGATTCTTGGCACTACTGGCTGACGGCGGAAGCTTTTCTGCTTCGTTTGACGTGTCTCTTCAGCTCAGGTGATCTTCCAGTTTGCGCTGCGCTTAATGGTTGGATCCCGACCGCGTTGACGGAACAGCGTTCTTAGGCTTAGCATCGCATGCGGACTATTGAAAGTACACTTGCACGACGGCCGAAACGGACCAGTGATTGAACTGAGAGGTAACTGGACAGGTCGTATCTACGTAGTACACGAAATTGCTGCCCAGATAAAGAGAGCAGAAACAGTTGGAACACACGGAAATCACATAAAGCACCGCCCAAACCCCAGTCAGCCTGGAAAGCTCAAATCGTCATTTGTTGAGCTTTGGTGCACCCTGACTCGCAACTGCCCTCGCCAAACCTCGCAGTCCTGAATTTTTGGAGTTGCCAGTAGCCGGGACACTACAACTCGGTCGGGAGTCCAATCGGGCATAGCCGAAGTTTTAGCACGGGCCATCGTGTCAGGCATGCAAGTACCAACATGTTATGAACCCTGAAGTGAATAAGAACCGTTCAAAAAAGTGCCTTCACGAACGATGGTCGGTGCTCTCTTGTGCATTGCTCTTGGCGGTGCCATCCTTCCGCAGGCCAGGTGCCTGTCGTAGGCTCTGGGGCATATGGATGTCGGCTCTTTTGGTAGACTTCGTCACACAGAAATATACCTACCCTTTACAGTATATAGTATATTTTTATGGTATCTACCCTATACAGTATACATTACATGGTATAGTATGGTATAGTTATAGTACCTTATGGTATATGCCCTGGAGCAGCCTGGAGGGCTGATCTATTGCATTTGCAGTGCTCCGCGTCTCCCTACATTCTACATCACAAGTTCATACCCGGTGCCCGTCGCACATCATCACCGTAGAATACCGTTGGCTTTAATCCCCATGGATCCGGAGACCTTGCTGCTGTTCCGTGCTATTCTAGTTCCTGTTGTAGAGGCAAGCTGCGAGTTCTGCAAGCGGCAAGCAGCCTGGCACAAAGGCTCCAGGCGATTCAAGTACCAGACTCAACATGCAATGAAGTGAGTACGAATCAAGACCGGAGCGGGAGTCCAATTTAATTCTGATGGTGGGTGCAATTAGCCGCTGATGCACCTACCCGGCAATTCATGGATGCCGTGCTCAAGCCACTAGACATGGAGATGAATCGTTGCAAGCGATAAGCTACCATGGCACCTCATGCATAACCCTGGACCGTTGATACCCTATAGCACGCCAGAACAAACTCCGGTGTTTAGTATAGCTCAATCACATGTTGTAGCACATCGCGTCTTTGATGAACTCTTGATTCAAACAAATCGTTATGCATGTGAAACGGAGATGATTGAGAAGCACCATTGTACCATGTACAGAAATACAGGTCTTTTTGTTTGCCCGAACGATCTGAAGCACATGCCGAGCTGGCATCTGAAGCGCTGGCATTTGAGCTTCAGTGAGATAGTCAGGGGCATGGTCTCGAAGGACAGGCAGGCTTGACTCAAAGCTTCCAGGCTCCCCCCACACAGAAGCGGTTGGTGTCACGTGCCATTCTCAAAGTTTGCATCCACAGTCTATCTTGACTCACCGCCAAAGCAGTGTTCATGTGGACAGCCAAGGCCACTGTTCACAAGCACAGCCCCTTAACACTTTGCAAAACATTAGGACAAAGAGCCTTCTGGCGTAGAGGATGCAGACAGGAACGACTCAACAGATTGGAATTAAATAGTCTCAAACAGGCGGTTGCACCAGCTAGCTGAAGACCATGCAGCTGAAGAATCATTTTGCTTTGAACCCTTTTGTGCGTAGCCACGGCGCTCTGGGGCGCCTATTGCAGACTTCCTGGCTTGATGCCACCGATGCTTTGAAGCATCTATGGCTTGTCGCGAGACTATACTCTCCGCATTGGCTCTAGAAAGGTGTGCTGCACTTCGTGTTTTGCACTGGCGGCGATGCAGCGGGACGAGCGGAAATCCTGGACCCGATTGCGCATAGGCGACAGAACAACATGCGGAAGAGTCGTCGCACTACGAAATCCTGTGCGGTGTGACCACGCGTGGGAAAAGGGCCGCTTCCACCGGGCGCAACCTGAAGCTGCGGCTGCTTCGAGCAGATGATTTGTGGGGCTGCGCGTCGGAAACCGAAGCGCTCCAAAACGGAACAGCGGGAGCTCGCAGGCATCGTCCAGAGTTCTCACGAGCCACAACACCTTCTGGCTAGAAACAACGCAGACAGGTGCGGCAACGTCCAAACCGACACTGTGATTTACAGTACGGATTTAGCTTGCGCTCTGAGGCTCCTCACCTAGCCGCAATCACCGACGGAGGCTGGAGCGATCAGGGGCCGAGTGCAGTCCCTGAAAACTTCGCAAGAAAATGAGTGAAAAACCGATCAGAAGCCTGACGGAGCAGGACATGAAGACATGAACGCCATGGAGATCCGGCGGCGCGGTGTGCAGCATGTTGGTACAGACGGCCAGCCCTTGGCATGGTATGTGTTCTGGCAGCATGTGATTGATGCTGCTTGCCAATGTAAACAATTTGACCGTAGTAGCCTAGTAGTAGCTGTTTAGCGGCGGTCCACGACAATGTGTGCTGCACTTTTATGTCCAGGAATGGGTGTTCGCCAATCCTGGTGAAATAGACCCTCGGAAGCATTGGGTTGTTCTGACTTTTCGTATCGGCGTGCATGCCAGGTCTGGTTTTTTTCGGGAGAGGTTTAACGTTCGGGGCACGGCCCAGCATCGATGCCGAACACCAAGGTCCGGAATAATGAGCCAGAGTTCGTGGTCACAGTGCCGCAGCACCTCACCTTGGATGTGGTGAAACTTGCCGGTATTGCTTTGGCTGGCGATGTGGAAGCCCGATGCCAGTCGAATCTCAACCGTGGATCCGCCGAAGCGAAAAACTCATTACACCACCATGATGCATGAACGACTCATGCCTGCGTTGTGATACAGTGATACATCGATGGGGTGGGACTTTTGTTCGAGAAAAGGTCGACCCCAACTCACCGTTGGCATAAGTTTCCCAACAGTGTGACTACATATGGGACCCTTTGACGCCGTGCATATGGTGGACCGGAACCGCTTGTTGTGAAACAGTCCCTTTCCGGCCGGGGCGCGCGCGCGCATCTGGAAGTCTCCTGGTAGTTTCCTGGTGCTATCCTGGTCACTGGTGGTCTCCTGGTGATCCGGTCTCCTGCTCGTCGTCGTCCTCCTCGACGTGGTCGTCCTGGTCGCACTATGTCGCAGTGCTCGAAAGCACTCACGACCTGCATCTTCCAACGCACAGCGAACCACCGGCCCTGCGGTCGGGACTTCCTGGTCCTAATGGCATGCTTTAGACATGGTCTTGAACTGTTTTTCGATTTTCGCTGTTATTGCAATAATGGTCTGGGTTCATGTCTTAGAAAATTCCATTTTTCCCCAGTGTTTTTTCTCTCACACCGACATTTGGAATCCTGCAGGCCAAAAATTGTTTTCCCCCCTACATTCCCAACTCCTGCATGGACAGCTTGCAACATCGACGAACGTGGCGGCAAGGATGATGCTGGGAGCGAGAAGGAGCATCGACACATTGACTATTTATGTGCCGGGTTGGGTTCCCAACCTTCAGCCCGTTGGTACGCCTAAAACGTCCCTTTCTTCCAACATGGGTCGCTTGGTGCTTTTGGTGCTTGGATCACAAAGCACATTGTTATTGTTGTTGCTGCTGCTGCTGAGCTGTTGCTGGCGGTGGTGTTGATGGTGGTGGTCATGTTGTGGTTGTCGTGGTGTGCGTTTGTGAATTGAGTGACATGCACGAGCGTGAACCCCGCAGCACATTGCCTCGCTTACTACCCGCACAGCCTTGTAT